AACACACACACTCACACACACACATGCACACACACACACACCCCTGATGATCTTACTTAGTTATTCCTACCCACTCTGATATTCTTCAATGGCTCTCCCTTTGAATACAATGCTCTTCCAGCCATCTGTTCCTTTTCCAGGGCATGCATTTCACTTCGTTAATCATTTATTTAGTTGAAAATGGAAGGAAGAAAGTCTGGCATCTTTATTCATCCACTATTTTACAAGAACAGAATGTGTAAATTTTATTTTTTTTTAATGTAGGAGTACTGCTATTTATTCAGCCACTGATTAGCTGATTGAATTGGGCATGAACTCCACCTTACTTATTTTTTTTCATTTTTTATAATTTTATGTATTGAATCACTGTGAGAGCAGTTACAAAGCTTTCGGGTTTAAGTCTCTGCCGTTAAGTAGCTTGATCAGGAGCCAGAAAGCCCATTCTCCACACCCAAAAACCCCAGTATACTCCCATCCTACACCTTCCCCCTACATGTGGGACAGATGATTTCCGCATTACTCTGTCTCTGCTTTGATTACATTCAATATTTTGACACCAGACCCACTATTATTATTTGGGATTTTACCCCAACACTCAGATTTGCTGAAAAGGTAACAGTAGACAATTTGTTTTCTATTGCTGGTTGGGCTGGAGCGATAGCACAGTGGTAGGGCGTTCGCCTTACAAGCGGCCGACATGGCCGACCCGAGTTCGATTCCTCCGCCCCTCTCGGAGAGCCCGGCAAGCTACCGAGAGTATTTGATATGCCAAACACAGTAACAACAAAGTCTCCAATGGAGATGTTACTGGGTCTGCTCGAGCAAATCGACGATCAACGGGAGGGCCTTTACCTTTACCTTTATTGCTGGTTATGAATAACATATGATGTCGTGTGTCTGCAGTAGTGGCCACGTGGCTTTTGAAATTCCAAAATTTTAACAATTAAATCTGAAGGGATTTCTGCCAAAACCTTCTAGGTTCCGAGATTAGTTCCTGAGTCTCTGGGATCATGGCCGTTAAGCAGCTTGATCAGGAGCCAGAGAGGCCATTCGTGGGGGGCAAATCGGGGTCTCATTGGGATGGGGCGGAAAGAGCCGGCTCCACCTCCATCCCATGAGACCCCACGTGTCTCATCACTGAGGGCCCAAACCTGACTGTCCAATGGCTCTGGAGGATGGCAGCCACCAAGCATCCTAGGGGGAGTAGGCAGAGGGACAGCACCCTTTCCCCCCATAGAATGGCCCGGCAACAGTAACCTACTGCAGAGTCTGGACGCATTTCTGCCAAATGCCACTGGGTTCCGAGATTTGTTTCTGAGTCTCTGGGATCATGGGCATTAAGTAGCTTGATCAAGAGCCAGAAAGGCCATTCGTGGGTGGCGAATTGGAGTCTCATTGGGATGGGGAGGAAAGGGCCAGCTCCACCTCCATTCCATGAGGCCCCGCATGTCTCGTCACTGTGCGCCCAAACCTGACTGTCCAGTAGCCTCTGGAGGATGGCGGCCACCGGGCCACCAAGGGGTACAGGCCAAGGCACTAAACCTATTCCCACCTGGGGTTGCCCGCACCGGTAACCTACTGCAGGGACTGGATGCATTTCTGCCAAAAGCCGCTGGGTTTCAAGATTTGTTTCTGAGTCTCTGGGATCATGTTCGTTAAGCAGCTTGATCGGGACCCAGAGAGGCCATGCCTCCAATTATATAGCTGAGCTGGAGGTGGTTTGTGGTTGTGTCTCCCACATAACTAACTTTTGGCCGTTTACTTTCTTGGTAAACTTTGCCCCAAGTTTTTGGGGTCTGGCAAAAGGCACAGCAGCAATTTTGGGGTATCTGGAGGTCTGAAGGCGCCATCAGGCTGCCAATGCACTCACCTCACAAGTACATATTGACCTGCTGGTGGCACCATACCCCCAGAATGTATAAATTTTAATCAAGTAATAGATGTTAAGGAACAAAATATGAACGGTTTGATATTTTTTTTAAATTTTATGACACATTGAGAAGCTGATATTATGACATTGAACTTAAAGGAAACGTAATCCTGTTCAGGCTGGCAATGAATGTTTATAGTAAATGTTCAGACAATTTACTGGTCTTAACTTACAAGTAAAGCATAAACGTTGGGTTGCTGCAGTTATACTATACCGAAAAGTCCCATATGTACTAAGTCTACCAACCCCTTATCAGAAAAGGAAAAAAATTTACTCAGTGCTACCCTGGAAATCTACCTTCTATCAGTGAACAAACAGAAAACGCTCCACAACTGCACCCAAGTCTACTACCCCCCACCCCACTCCAACTACCTATCACCCTCCTAACCTTACATTCCACCCTGACTATCCCCCCCCCTTCCCCTTCAACCCCACCTGGGTGCTTTATTACCCACTTTGTAAAATACATACTATACAACCTAAATGTTTCTCACCTTGAAAAAAATAAGACTGAAAGTAGCTAATAGAAACCAGTTAAAAGTAGATGAAGAAAGAGTGTGAGTAGATAGAATAAAGGTGCTAACTAATATTCCATTTTATATATTCCATTTATATCCAAGAAATACTGTTAAAATTAGAAGAAATGAAACAGAGGCTTAAATGTGTTCAGGTTTAAAAGACATCACATTCTTTTAAAATGTTGACTGTCTTTAACAAACAAGAGAGCAAGAATACATAAATAAACTACATCCTGAAATTTCACAGCAAGGAGTCAAAAGACTCCTTGACAATTCAACATCATTGGGGCCACAGCAACAGTGAGCTGGTAGGGCATTTGCCTTGAACATAGCAAATCCAGGTTCGATCCTGGCATACATATGGTCTCTAGAGCACTACCAGGCATAATTCCTGAGTGCAGAGCCAGGAGTAACCTCGGAGCATTGCTGGGTGTGACTGGAAAACAAACCAAAAAAACCCAGAACAAAAGACCAACTCAACAATGTGATAAAAAGTGTATTTTTTAGCATTATTCAGAAAAACCAATAGACCTAAAACCTGAGGCAGCTAAAAACATTTTCCTTCAAGGGAATAGAATTGGGATCTGGAGGGTATTTGGACAGAAAAGTTGCTTTCCATTAAAAAATGTCTCTGTATTGTTTATTTTGTTACCAAAACATGAATAAATTTTATAAATTGTTTTTAAACTATATGAACTAAAAGAACATGAATGCAAAAGAGCATGTATATATTGTACAACTATTTTCAACATAAAAGCATTTCTTTGGGATTTTCAAATGACAGGCTTGCTTTATGTTTATTCTATACCTTTTCATCAAAAAATTAATAAATATGTCACATAATTTTATAATGGAAACTGAACCCTTATGGATATAATTCCAAATCTAATTATTCAATAAAAAAGGAAATTTGCTCATAATCTTGACAACTCTGAGCAATGAGTCAATATATTATCATGTATTTTAAACTAGTTACCTAAAAAAACTACTGTATTTGTCCTGACAGAGAAGCATTTACTAAGAATTGCTATTTAAACATCTACCCAATGTCCTGCTGTTTTCAATGACAGCAATTCAATTCTATCTCAAAAGTTGTGATCATTGTACATATTAAGTTTCTCAGTCTTGACATCAGGGGTAAGAAAGGTAGGTAAACATAGTTATTTCAAAGCATTGTCCCTTAGAATAAAAAAAACTATCAATTTATACTCACAGTATACCTTTAGTATGATGATCTCAATAAATTAAAAGTGAATTAAGATTTAAATTATAGAAATATCTATAAATATTACTATTTTATCAGTTCCATTAAAAGAAAATAAACTAATGAGAGTTATTTATTCTGGTGAATTTCTTTTTATCTTACTCTTTTAAACTAGCACTATTTCCAAGAAACATTTTTATTTATTTTGGTTTTGAGTCACACCCAATAATGTTCAGGGCTACTTCCAACGGTACTCAGGGTTTGCTCCCCAGAGCACAGAAGGACCAATTGTGCCAGGAACAGAACCAGAGCTTCTACAATGAAAGCATACACTGGGTGTGACCCCCCCAAAATAACTTAAATACATTTAATTGTCTTGCTAGTCAAACAAATATCTTTCTTATCAGAACTTCTTAGACAATTATTTTAAACATAAATCAGCTAAACAATTGTTTAAAGTTCCTATCTCCAGGGTGTTGAAAGATAGTACAGCAGGCAGGGTGCCTGCCTTGTATGCAGCCAACCCAGGTACAATCCCTGGCACCTTATACGGTCCCCCAGTCCCCACCAGGAGTGTTCTCTGAGCATCAGGTCAAAAAAATATGTGCCTAGTCCACACTGTTCAAAAATAAAATATAAAGTTATCATTTAGGCATTCCACTATATATAACTATATAAGACTACTTAAATATTTAAAAGTTTAATACCTTAACAGTAACAGAATCATGAGAAATATTTAAAATAAAACAGTATCAAAAGCAAAATCCACTGATATCTCAAACATCATAAGGAAGTGATTTGGCAATAGATAATAATTCAAATATCTTCCTTTCAGAACTATGTATTCTTTAGAAAACAAGAAAATCAGTATCAAAATTGATTCACTGCCTATTATAATGAAACCAAGATGCATTTGTGGCTAATTCCTACATTTTTTCACTTCACTAGCAGGGAGTAGTATAAAATACAATATTATTAATTAACTATTTAAATACATTCTACTCTCTGTTATGTGTTACTGAAACAGAATATATATGTTCAAATAGCCAAAAATAAAATCATCACAGTTTTACATGCATTTTCTTCTGTAAGCTCACCTAACAATATATAAGCTCATCTAACACACAACACCAAGAATATGTATTTCATAGCTCACCATGCTGTTTAACTTATTTTAAATACTAAGACATTCATAGTCTACAATTGAAACATATAAAAGAAAAGATCTTGAAGAAATATTCAAGAGTTTTATGGTACATACTGAAGAATGATGATTAAATAAAAACAGCAGAAATAGAGTTTAAGATGACAAACTGATACTAAAAAATGACTGCAATAACTTTAGTACCTTTTAGCACTAGTTGACAATTTAGCAGCAGTTTTACTGGATATTTTTCCCTCTTTTTTCTTGGGCTGAACTTGTTCTCTTTCTGGTTCTTGCTGAACACTTTCACGCTGATCTCCATCAGAACTTCCTCCACTAGTGCTTGGACTATCATCAACTCTTTGTGCCTCAGTGGACATTTTAGATCCTGGATTAAAAAATGAGAAATCATTTATTCAAGTTATAGTAAAGTAACTCAAAAATAAAAAGTGAGTCTCAATATAAAATAAGTAAAGCTTAATAAAAAATTAATAAGTTGGTTATTTACATAAGTCATAGCAGTTACTGTAATTTTTCTTGAATCATTCAAAAATGTATTGAGAAACAAAAGCAAAATTTATATGTAAAATGTTCATTGTTAACATAGGAGTCAAATTCTCTCATCCAGGGCAACCCAGAGTGGGGTGGCTGATGCACCCACACCTATCTCAACAGAGCCCTGGCAGCCAAAACCTACAGAACTCCATTGCTGCCATGTTCACAGCCAATCTCCACAGGCTCAGACAAGCCTCTTCCATGAGTGAATCTCCTGAGAAACCCAGGTATGTGGGACTTGTGACCAAAATCTCCAGGCTTGACCAGAGTCAAAATCTCCAGGTTCACATGGCGTTGGGAATGGGCAACCTCCCCCCATCTCCCTGTGTTTCTGGTAGCCTAGGAGTCATGCCCACAAACTGCCTCTGGTGTCATATAAGCTCATTACAGGCCATATGATCCAGAGACTCATAAATATATCTGTCGGAAATGAGCAACACACCACTGAAATGTCTCCAGACCCAAAAGGAACCATCCAGTTGAAAAAAAATTAAATTAACCTCAGCTGATCATCATATTTAAAATTTTAGAATCCTGGAGCAACGTCTTGTACAGCACTGATATGCCAAGACAAGGGCTTAATGGTTCCAGGTAAAATGCAACAATCTTGACACACTTTCCTCTAACAAAACTTTTTCAATCATTTTTAGCAGATTAATCATAACAAGCAATACAAAATGAATTATTTAGGTAATGTTTTGGGGGCACACATTGGGGGTTGGAGTGGAAACATTCGAAATATGGTAGTGGGAAAGTGTAATGGTGGTGAATTTATTAAATGTAATAAATTATTGTGAACAACTTTATAAAAATAAAATGAAATTATAAAAAACAAACATAGGAACCAAAGACTAAACTAACTCACCACTGATAATAGCTAAAGCAACCATAGATAAGTGTAAAACATTTATCTATATAAAGGAAATGAGGTATGGTACCTATATGCTAACATGGATGAACTTTGAAAATATTATGCTGGGGACCAGGAGATAATACAGTATTTACAAGACATGCCTGCCCTGGAAAGGGTTCAATTCCTAGCACCACATGCTATGTGTATGTGTCCAGGTCTCCCCCGCTCCCCCTCCTCCCCCCAACCCAGTATAAGCATCACAGTGTTGAGGTTTGGCAGACTCAGCATGACAAGAGTGACCTGCTTGATCCCAAGTAGACCAGAGCCTTGGTTGGTTGACAATCCCAGAAGGGTCTCCTGAGCACAAGAAAGGTACACCACCACCACCACCACCCCCCACCCAATACGCACACTACTTGAAAAAAGCTGGTTACGAAAAAATACATCTTACATGATTCCATTTACGTGAAATGACACAATAGACAAATGCAATGATAAAAAAAATCAGTAAATGGGTGTAGGGGCTAAGAGTGAGGGAAGAATCAAGAAATAGATATACTAATAGGTATGAAGTCTCCTTTTAGGCTCTTGAAAATTATATTAAGTAAGGATGATGTTGTACAACTTTATTCCAAAAGTAACAGTTATGAGCTTTAAAAGGCTGAATTTTAAAGTATGTGAATTACCTCTCAATAAAACCATTACTTTGCAACACCCAACCCCCCAAAAAGCAGCAGACCTCTTTTCCACTGGTCATTATGCTAGATCTTGGTTCCACAGTCATGAGTTAAGTCTATAAGCCAACTTGTTAAGCAGTTTTAACAGCTGTCAGTAAAAATAGCCATAGGAAAAGGAAAATGAGTAATTTTGCACCGTATCTGAAGAATATAACCTCAGGATAGAGCTAAAGGTGAAAATTCTCTTAACTAGCTAATTGTTTTAAGTTACACTTCTGATTAAAAAAAATACAAAGATCTGTTAGAGAAGGGAGCACCAAATAAAGGGTGTTTGGAGGATCCTCCCAGGAGGGGAGATGCATGTTGAAAGTAGACTATGGACTGAACATGTTTGCCACTCAAAGCCTCTTTTGCAGACCACAACACCCAAAAGGAGAGAGAGAACACAAGGGATTGCCCTGCCACAGAGGCAGGGTGGGATGGGAGGGATGGAGGTGGGAGGGATATTATCCATGGTGGTGGAAAATGGGCACTGGTGGAGGGATGGGTATTTGATCATTGTATAATCGAAACCCAAGCACAAAAAATTGTAAATCTACAACTGTACCTCATGGTGTTTCACTAATAATAATAATTTTAAAAAATAGTCTAAGGTGAAAAAAAATACAAAGATCTGTGTATGTTAAATTAAAACTGACCCATATAATGGTGTCAGCACTGATCCAGCAAATACCAAGTAATCACGTTTCACAGATGAAGACTGTACCAAGACATTGAATGATTGCTACCCCAACTCAGGCATCATCACACCCTCCTCCCACCTGGATGAAATATCCTTCAAGACCTTCAAATTCCTTTGCCCTGAGTCCGTGCTCCCAAGTAGTTCTGATTACCAACTCAATTTCTTCAATATCTTGATACATAGATAGCTGTCACAACCTTGAGAGCAAAATAAAATGTTTTGATTCAGTAAGAAAAGGTATATCCTCTTTCAACTGTCACTCTATCATCATCAATTTCTGAGTTTGATTACTACATAGTAATCAAACTCAGATAATACATCCCTTATGACTGGATTGGAATGTAGCAGCAAATCTAAAATTTGACAAAAACCAATGCTTAAACTTTAAAGGTTTGTGCTCACCATGTTACCATATTACTCACTTAATAATCACTTTGAGTACCTAATGCTGGGTTCTCAGGCACCTCCTCTTCTTTTAAAAAAAAAGAATCTTGAACTATTTCTGTTTAGGAAATAACATTAGCAACACAAAAGGCATACAAAGAAATTTTAAAATTCATAGTTTAAGAAAAGATACTTTACATTTCATCAAATTAGGACATAAACTTTATTTGATAGTATTAAAAATAAGAATACTTTAAAAATTCAAAGCAGTGTTGCTGCTATTAAAAGTTGGTACAAAAGGTAAGTTTATAATGATAAAATTCATTATCACCGAAGAGTTAATTTGTAGGGTGTTCAAAACCAAAGTAATTCTGTAATTACAGAAACTTGAGGATTGAAATTTGTTTGATAAGTCAAATGGCATTGCAATAAAATAGAAGAATCAGAGACAACAGAGGTGGAAAGTCAATAGAAAACTCAATTGTCTTTAATCATAAATCACTCACACACCACCATCTTTTCAGCCCCAAAGTGCCTATCGCCTGTGCCAAACAAATATAGGTCTCTCCAAGCTGCTCTGAAACAAAATAATGAAAAAAATCTGGCTGCTTTTCTACCTATTCTGTAAATGGATACCATCAGTCTCCAGAGCTGTGACATCTTTTATGAGCACTAAAGTGACTTAATAGAATACTGAAGTTCTATATCAGTAGGTTCACACCTAGCTTGAACAGTCATAACATATTTCATGCTTTTAAATATTTTTTATTTCACTTTAATTCTCATCTTGGATTTTTTTCCAGCTTACTTCTTTCAGTTAAAAATATGTCAGAGGTTTAAAGCCTTATAAATATGTACATAAGAGTACATTAGCTAGAGCAGATGTACATGGGAGGGAGAATAACTCAAGGAAAGTCCCTCAGATATAGCAAATGTTGCCAGCAATATTTTAAAATTGAACTGAGAAATTACTTTATACATCTTTAACTAGATACAATTCATTACATGACAAATATATGAAAACTGAATGCTGAATGGAAATAAAGTTCATTTTTACTGAATCTGAAGCTTCAGTTTAATATCTTATGCCTAGAGTTTTAGTCACACATTATATTAGTTATAAAGTTATACTTTACAGTCTTAAGTGTACTTAGCTAATAACAAAAATGCCCTGCGATTTCCTGCAATTTGGAGGGAGAGGGGTTGGGCCACAACACTCTGTGCTCAGGAGTCATTCCTGGCAGTGCTCAAAGGACCATACTGGGTGCCAAGGTTTAAGCCCAAGTAGGCCTCAGGCAAGGCAAGCACCTTACCTTCTGTATGGCCTCTCTACCCCTGATGCCCAAATTCCAAAAATTGCAGAAAATCAGACAACTAAAATTTGTCTCAGTGAAAGACTATTAAAAATACCCAAGGATCCCACATATGACTCAGTGGTGGAACACATGCCTCACCTGTGAGTTGGAGGGGGCAGGGGGCTAACCACTAACATAATTTCTAAAATTTCATGGTAAAGAAAATATATTATTTCAGCTTTTGCCCTAAAGTGCTTTACTTCATGAAATCTAAGCCGCCGATGATAAGTGCATGTGAAGTTCATATAATAACCAATATATGAACTTTATAAAGTTTTCACATCTATTTATAAGTATCAAAAAGGTAGTTTTGGGGCCAAAATAATAGTGCAGTGGGTGGTGAACCCATATCTATCCAGCACCACCTTTGGTGTGCCCCACCAGGAGTGATCCCTGATCACAGAGCCAGGAGTAAACCCTGGGCAATACCAGGTGTGATTCAAAAGAACAAACAAAAAGATATCTCTTCTGGTTTTGCTCTTGAATGCCTGATTAAAGAAAGCATGGGGAAAGTTATGGCATTATTCAGAAGTCAACTACATTTTATGAAAAAAAAGGTAGCTGATAAAATATGAACAGTATAAAATTAGCATTTTTATCTTTAATGTACAAATAAAAGTCCCTGAATTGAAATTCTTTAAATACTATCTTCCAAATCAGCATTTTAAAACCATCTTTACAATTGATTCTCTAAGTTGACCCAATTACCTAATCTTCAGGGACAATAAGTCACATCATATACATATTACTCTTGGAGTTACAAAACTGTATTAAAATTTATATTTTACTTTGAATTTGAAAGTAAAACTTGGATCCTAAACATATGCAGTCTTTCCTCAAATACGCATTAAGTTTAGATTACCTTCCTTCTAGCACAAACTGAGCTCAGTGTTGTAAATTACAGTCCTGAAACTGCAACACAATGAATGAAATTCACCAAGTTCCAAACACATGATTTAACTGTAATTTTTACTAAAGCAACCAGACACTCCACAAATTCAGAGTACTGACCAGGTAAGCCTTATACCCATCTTATACAGTATAAAACTACAAACGCAAGTGTTCACTTAAGTAACGTTTTACAACAGAAAAACACAAAATTCTGTCATTTGCTATCTTACTATTTGTCTTCCTACTCATATTTCTAAACTTTCTTGAAATGTAAAATCATTTTTTATACGCAGAACATCTAGCAATATGCCTCTCTTTTGAGGTAATGGTAAAGATACTTATGCAGAAAATAATAGAGAACATACCAGGAAAGGGTGGTTAAGTCCTGGGGGAGAGAGAATGGGGTATACCATATGAAAAACACTCCATCATTGACATCTGCCCACATCCCAAACTCAAAAAAGCTAAGACGCATCCAAAGAGTAAACACATATATTTAAATTCCCAATGTTCCGACTGAATTAGCACATATTCACAAACACAGGTTTTTTTTTAAAGAATCAGGAATAAAAAGAAAAAAATCTTTTTAAGCGCCAAAATAACCTGAAGGTAAACCCTGCGACTTCCTTTTGCACTTTTAAATAAAAAAATAAGTGAGCAGTCTCTCAAATACCCCATAGAAAACGAGGACTCTAGAAAACAGGCAAATGGGTCTAACTGCCACCGAGCACAGGGTGATGTCTCTCTAAAGCAGCCTTAATTTCCTTAAGGGAAGATGAATTGGACATTTCTGGTCTGGGGAATGGGGGTCGGGGAGGGAGGATGGGGGGTGGAAATAAAAGCTAAAGCTTTATCTTCATTAGAAATGGTAAAGGGCAAAAGAATCAAAACATTATGAGAAGCCAGGTGGAGATGGGGGCGGTAAGGTGTGGAGGTGTGTGTGTGTATGTGTGTTGGGGGGTGGGGGGGGAGGCGAGTGATGCTGATGGGGGAGGGGGGAGCGAATCCAGTTTCCAACCAGGCCAGTGGGGGCTGCAGGGAAGAGACCGGAGAAAAATGGGCTTCCGCTCCAAACTGTGACAAGCAAGCGCTAGGTTTCACAAAAGACCAACACACCACCCCATGCCAGGGCATACCCAAACACACCCCCACACGGTCTTCTCCAGGCGGCTTGCGGGGTGTCGAGGAGCTAGTGTGTGTGTGCGGGGGCGGGGGGGGGGGAGGGCTGGCCCGCCGGCGGGGAAGCCAGACGCCCCCCCCACCCCCACCCCACCCTCGCCAGGGGAGAGGCACCATGTGCAGCAATTATGCAATTAGGGAAAATAGCAAAGAGATCAAGCCGGGCACTTTGCAGCGTGACATTTATTCTGTACTTTTTTTTTTGCAAAGACTTAGTTCCAGGATGCGGCTCGAGAGGGAAAGGGGGCCGGGAGGGTGGTGGCGAAGGATGGGGAACTGAAGAACGGAAGAAGGGGGTAGAAGATGGGCAGGGAAGGAAGAGGCAAAAGGGGGTGGATGGGAAAGGGGGGGGAGGGGTGGAAAGGGCGAGAAACCGGGGCAGGAGACAGGCGGGAGGGAAGGGGGGGCGCGCCGGGAATGGGGCACGCCGGGGAGCGAGGAGGGAGGGAAACTAGGGCGAGAGCGGTGTCAGGAGAGACCTGAGGCGCGGGGGGGGGAGGGGGGTGGGGGTGTGGGGGCGTCCACGGAAGGGAGGACGCCCGAGGGCAAGAGTGGGGGGAGGGGGAGGGGGAGTCCGCGGCGCGGCCGTGCGAATACCTGAGGGAGGGGCGTCAGCGCAGGTCGCAGGCTCGAACCCAAGCCGCGAGAGAGCCAGAGAGAACGAGACAGAGAGAGTGAGAGAGAAAGCTGAGGGAGACGAGGGGTGAGGGGTGTGTGGAGGGGGGAATCTGGGCGGCCCCGAGGACAGCGTGTCCTCGCAGACCGTCTAGTCACCGACAGAGCCGGACCCACGCACCACGCACCGGACTGCCCGGCCACGCCTGTCTCCCCGCCGCGCTCGCGCTCGCGCCCGCCCGGACTCACCCCTCAGCGCCACGGCCACCCCCGGGCCGTTCCAGCTCCGGTTCCCGAGGCAGCTGCCCGCGGCGACTCGCTGTGGCCGCCCGCCCCCCGCGTCTCGGAAAGTGAAGCCACCGCCTCCGGGAGCCTCTGCCGCCGCCCGGCCGTCCGCGCGCGCGCCCGCGACTGCGCGTGCCCGCGCGCCCGCCGGAGAGACCGCGAGAGCGCGAGCCCCACGTCGACCGAGCCGCGCCGCGCCGCGCCGCGCGCCTCCCTACCCGCTTCCCCCCGCCACCCCCAACACACACACACACACACACACACACACACACACACACACACACACACACACACACACCGCTCCGCCCCTCCTCCTCCTCCTCCTACTCCGGGCGCGCGGCCGCGAGGGGGCGGGAGCGCGCTCGGCCCGGCTGCCCGGCGGGCGCGACCCGGGAAGCCCGGCAACCGGCCGGAAAAGTAAAGTGCGGGTCGACTTTGGCCCGCGGCGCGAGTGGGCGAGGGGCGTCTCACGGCCGAGGGAACATTCGGCCGGGACCCCGAGCCGGAGGGAAACGGAGGCTGATGGGGCGGCTTGAGGGGAGGGGACGCGGGGACCTTGACAGGCACGCGCGTTAAAGGGAAACGCGGGCTGGGGTGGGGGGTAGGGGGTCCGCAGGGGGTGCTGGCGGGAGTTGCGGCGAGACGAGGCGGGGCGCCGCCCCTTCCCCGGCGGCCCTGGACTTCACACTTGCCTCGGGGCTCTCTCTGAGCAGCTCCCTGGGCTGACCCGCCTGACACGCTGACCCAAACTCCGGCGCGCGGTGCCCACATGCACCCGGGATGGGCGAACTCCGTGTCGACCTGCCGAAGTTGATCCAGGCTCCGCCACACGAAGCCCGAGCTGCCTTCGAGCCGGTCCTGTTCCCAGAGCACACCTGGTCACCCCAGAGCGGTGGGAAAAGGGGAGGGGGGGGAGCAGCGATCTCCGGGCCAGTAGCCTGATGCCCAGGTCAGACTGTGGGTGAACCCAGGGAACATTGGGTTCCCCTGTCATTGGAGCCCTGATTAATAAATCAGAAGCAAAAAACCTGTGCCAACCAGGCACACCGATTCCATCAAAGTCCCCTCACCTTCTCTTCCAGCCCCGGCAGCCCTCGCCAACTGTTGGCTTTCTGGCAGATTTCAAAATCTTTCCCGTATAGAAGTTATCACTGGTTGTGAAAAGTGTCTTGCCCGGACGGAACTGAAGACAGCCAATGCAGAGCCCAGATCATCTCCAGCAGCTGAACGCAAGCAGTACAGAAAGACCCCAGAGGATGGACCATGCATGGTCGTGAAGCTGGAAATCCTTTTATCAAATGCTTTCTTCAAGAACTTTTACTTTTATACAATCCCAGCTATTGTCCAAAGCGAACTTTGGCTTCTGTCCTCTCTAAATCATCAGAGAGGGAAAAAAAATTGTGTGTGTGTGTGTGTGTGTGTGTGTGTGTGTGTGGAGGGTGGGGGCACGGGGGATGTTGCTGTTATAAATACAATTTCTATGTACCATTCAAGAATATCAAGCCCCTCTTTCCCTTAAAATCTAAAACATGTTGCAGGATTAGAAGGTAGGATAGCCTAGGATTCTCATCAATTATTCAACGACCTTTTCTCCCCCTAGAGTCATGATCACAACCACCCTGTTGTTCGTCAATTGCCTCGAGCAGGTGCCAGTAATGTCTTCTTCGTCCTAGCCCTGAGATTTTTTTTTTAAAGTGCCATATTCAAGGCTTTTTCAGGGTTAGGAGAATGAGACCCATCATTGTTACTGGTATTTGGCATATTGGGTATACCACGGGGAGTTTGCCAGACTCTGCCGTGTGGGCATGTTACATTTGGTAGCCTGCCAGTTTGACCAAATTAGGAATGAGATGATAAGATGTCGCGCGGTCGCTGAGTGTGATGATCTCTGGATCCTGGCCGTTGTTGGAGTTACACGGCAGTTGGTGGGTGTAACTGTCTAGTTACTGGCAGGTCCAGTCCCAAACTGTACAGGCTTGGAGATCTCAGCCCCGGGTCCCACACACCTGGGTTCCTCTATCAGTTCTTTTATGCGTGAGGCTCATCCAAGTGTGTGGAGAGTGCTCCCAGCAAGGCCTTGGCTGGGCCTCGGTGGTCTTCAGCTGTTGGGCCCTGGTGGAGACAGTCAGGCATAGGGTAGGAGACTCTGTCTTGTTCTCTCCCAGGAGCTGAGTGTGATGATCTCTGGATCCTGGCCGTTGTTGGAGTTACGTTGTTGTTATTAGTTCCCCCTAGAGTAATAATATTAATAGAAAAAAGAATATAAAATTATATCTGTTTTTTTAATATTTAGAATATGGCCATAATAGAACATTTCGTGGAGTTTCTTGATGTGTGCACTAAGGCAATCTATGAAAAGAAACTTCTGTCTACTGTCATTTTACTATTTTTTTCAATGTATTTTGTATGAAGCTGATGAAGATTATGACATCATTCCCATTTCCTAGGTCTCCCTTCTTTTTTGCCTTCAGATCTATAGGATTGGTTTTTATTTACAATGAATATAATAAAGTAATCTTCCATAACAGAACAGATTTTTTTTCTATCATTGGCAGTTGGGGACCAGAGATGCAGCTAGTCAAGTTCCACTTTTATGAAAGGATTGAAAGAGGATTTGGTGCTTAAACGTTAGCATTGTAATTGCGACAGTGCTCCATTTATCTGTAGATGTTCTGTGATTAAACTAATTCAATTTAAGAAGAGTATAATATAAATTTGTTGTTCCTTTCACTGATTCAAACAATGTTTTGAGTACCAGATATTCTCTTAAGTCACAGGCTCCCACAAAAATTTGGACTACATCATTTTTACAGAAAATAAGATACTCAGCACCTCCCCCGCCCTTGCCAAGGAATCTACCTTCTTTTTAAAATACTTTTATTTGGGACTGGAGCATAGCACAGCAGTAGGGCATTTGCCTTACATGCGGCCACCTGGGTTCGATTCCCAGCATTTCATATGGTCCCCTGAACATCACCAGGAATAATTCCTGAGTGCAGAGCCAGGAGTAACCCCTATGCATCACTGAGTGTGACGCAAAAAAATAAAAATAAAAAATAAAATAAAATACTTTTATTTATCTCTCTACTTTTTGGCCTTCTCAAGCAGTGCTCAGTAGGCTAGGGGCCCCTGCAGGCAATTTCTGGCCCTATGTCCTTGCACTGCCAAGGATTAATATGCCAGGCAGGGACAGCAGGTAGAGTGCTTTCTTGCATGCAGCTGACTTGGCTTCCATCCCCAACATCTTATATGGTTCCCTGAGCACTTCAAGGAATAATTCCTGAGAGCAGAGCCTAGAATAACCCTTGAGCATCACCGGGTGGCCCTCAAACAAACAAACAAAAAACTAAAAAAAAAATGTTTAAGTACATGCAAGGCATTTGCCTTAATCCCTATACTACATCTCTGGCCTCGAAAATATGTATTGTCTGAGAGAACAAACAAAAAAAACACCCCTCAACTGCTCCAGAAGCTACTACCATTCCCTCATTTCCCCACACCATCATTCCAATGCTCTGAAAGGGTATTACCCATTCTAGGAATTACTAGTCTACGTGTTTGGGATCTTTTTTATTTAATTAAAAAAATAGCCTCTGTCCTCACAGAACTTTCCTGTTTCTCTGCTTTACCCGCTATATCCAATTCCTAAGCAAATACCATTGTGTCTGCCTTCAAAACTGTGTAACTCCTAAAGAATCCATTTCATCCCACCACCTCCCACAGCTAATACCTTGGTCCAGGCCACCATCATCTTCCAATAACACCTTCTCCTCCTTGATCTTTGTTTCTTCTATCCACTCTCTTACCCCTATTCTCACCAACAATCTGAGTGATCCTTTAGGAGTAGAAAAAAAATTTTTCTGTCAAAGGCCATTTGGTTATTTTAGCATAATTCATGGGCCACACAGAACAGTCAGACAGACAGTCAACAAGAGATATCTGTACCATCCTGTACTAGGGCCTTTCCTATAGTACAGTCATATATCAGGGCCAGACCAAATGATTTAGCAGTATGTGACCCAGGAGGTAATCATTCTCTACTCCTAAAACATGGATTAGGTTATGTCTTTTCTCTTAAAAATATCTCCAATGGCTTCTCATACTAGAGCAACAACCAAAATTCTTATAAAGCTCCTAGCCCTGTGTTATCTTTCTGCCATCTCCAACAAAAATTCTTGTTACTTTACATTATTATTTATTCACTCCATCTTCACTTCCCTCTAGTCACACAAAGCCTTCTTACTTTTACGGACCATCCATAAACACTTGATCCTTGAGATTTCTGGCTTACAGCATTCTAATGTATCCCAATACTTCTTGTACCCTTCTGCTTTATTTGTATGATCATAATAAACCTGACATAGCTTTAACTTATTTATTATAACCATGCCCCTTTAACTTCCTCTTCCTTGAGAATAATAATTTTGTTGGCTAGGATTCTTTCCTATGTATATATGTATACAGTACTGTTTGTAAGAATAAAATTAATGAGGCTAAAGTGATAGCACAGTGGGTAGGATATTTGCCTTGCATGTGGCCGACCCAGGTTCGATTCCCAGCATCCCATATGGTCCCCCGAGCACCACCAGGAGTAATTCCTGAGTGCAGACCCAGGATTAACTCCTGTGCATCGCCAGGTGTGACCCAAAAAGCAAAAAAAATAAATAAATTAACTTTCAGTCGATAGCATGATAGGCATTGCTCTAATTTCTTCAAAAGTAATAACACTTATTGTGTTCTTAATTTGTACCACACAAAGTTCTACTACT